TCATCAGTTGTGATAGAGAGTCAATTACCAGCGTGCACTGAGCAGATACTTACTGCATCATTGTGTCTGAAATGCTGAGCAAATGGAAAAATCATTATATGGTAATTTGCATTAAATCTTTCGAATGGCTTTTCAAACCATAACAATTTAACAAGTCAGTCTTTTAGGCAAGTAAAGGACAGCAAGTACTCAATACAAGTGCTCTCCGTCAAAACAAACCACTGAACAAATGCTCAAGTGTTCAGTGTTTCTTTGAGTGGAATTTTGTTTTGGGGAGTAGTGTGCAGGGAATGTAGACTCCAACTTAATATTAAGTGTCTCCCTGCTGTAAAGTGCCTTTATCTGGAAGTTAATAATAATACATTTTATTTAAAAAGCGCACGTTTCTAATACTCAAAGCACACTGTACCATTACAAGAACATCAATCAGCAAAACAATATAAAACAGTACATTAAAACAACTGTTTTGATTTTAGAGCATGAACTAAATGCTTAAATTCAAAGCTATAAATATAAACGCATGTACAGTAGCACACCACATTACACATAAATAATGCACAGTAGTGTTGCATAATGAAGTGGGATGTATAATTTAACCAGGTGGTTTAGCTGGACTTTATTGCTGACATTACCCAGGGCGAGAGGAAGTTGCAGTGCTCGGTCAAAGAACCAGGGTAACCTCCACATGGCACACACGCAATCATGTACACACTATATTATGCAGATATACATAAAGAGAGACACGCATACTGTAGGCACCCATACAGGGACAGTGAATGGAGAGAGAAAAAACAGACACCAACACACAAAAGTGAGTGTGTGTGTCTGTGTATGTTTTCTGAACTGTCTGTGGGCTCAAATGGGTCATTTGGTCTCAGCAGACCGGAGGAATCGCAGACAGGTTGGGCTCATCACAAACCACCTACATCAGGAAGAGTGGGTGAGAGAAGAGACACTCACTGACGTTAAGAGAAATACAGATGTAGGTAGTACACCTACTTGAAAGCCGCTTTCAAACAATGTTTCACTGAAAATAAAGCTAAAGGAGAAAGTAAAAAGACAGAAGGAAAGTCCTCAGGACAAGATTAATGCCGGAGGCTGAAACTGCATGAGATATAAAATATAAAGATGTCAGCTAAAGGGAAATTCCCCCTGGCAAAGGAAGAAGGATTTGTTTAGTTTTAGGTGACAATGCTGGGCTTCTGCTCAGCCGGGAACACACAAGAAGAATTTCAAATCCTAACCAACTGGGAACTAAGCCAACAGCACACATTAACAATACAGTAGACCTTCCCATATTACATTTGTGGGTCCAAATACAAGATACCTTTCAGATTTGTCCAGATTCCAGTCATAAATATCAAATATGTTTGATTCTGATTCTGAAGAGTCGGATGCTTGATCCAATTGTGAGAGACAAATTCTAAACTGCTGATGATCCCTTTTTTGAACACTTCAGGGACATTACACAATCAGACTGAAACATAAGTTCCTGCCTTAAAGCTGCACAACTCAAAATTTTATGTCAACAATGGATGAAATGACTATGTCTATGTGAATGGGGTCACTCAGAGGGAATAAACTGACAAAGAATCATCAAACTGTTCGTACTCAGCTTTATGGAGCATTTTAGAGTCTTTCAGCTCATTGTTTTGGTTTTACGTTTCATACAGAGTCAGTTAGCAACTAACTGGTGAACAACAGCAGAGCATATAGCAGCCAAAGAGCAAGATATTTTGCTCTGTTGTTGGTGGACATCAGACTAGGGCTAAAAGGAGAGTGACTCCAGGTGAATACAAATATAGCTCTGTATCTGCTGGATGTGTAAATTAGAAACATTTTTCTAACATGTCGACTTTATAAGGTAATATCAATGTTGTGTTCACAGCATGTTCCGCTGCCCCCAAGTGGTCAAATGCCTTGGTTCTTTATTGATACGTTGATGCATGCTGGTTTGCAAACTCAACCAGGCTGAGAAATATGCAAGTCATACAAAAAGTATAAAAAACCATCCAATCCATGTACATCCAATGTTACAGCCTCTCACCCTCAAAGCCTTGAAGCTGCCCATTTGCTGCCTGTAGAGGCTCTCCATGCTCCAATAACATTGGACAGGCCACTGGGGATGGAAAGAGTTCAGACCTCCAGAGGAAAGAGTTCAGAAACACAAGGGGCACTGTGTTACAGAGAGAAAGTGAGAACAAGGAGGGGGGGCTACAAAAACAAGAGCAAGTCTTTTCTCCTTAGCTACTCCTAGAAAAATGTAAAAAATCCAGCTTCCATCCAAGATGCATGCATTGGTCCTATATGCAGCCAGGAAGCGGGCAGAAAGTCAGGCGGTCAGTCAGGCAGTTAATTACAGAAGAAACAGTGACATTGTTGGAGGGCAAGAACAAGAAGAAAGCTTAAAGGTGAGGATTTTTTTTCCTCTGCAAGCCAAGCCTTCTAGCTGACCTTACTTTGTTTCCTTTGGGGTGAATTTCCTTTATGTGTGGAGTGTATGTGTGCACAGAGGTCTGTGGCTTGTTACCATGTAACAGACACGCCAAAGAGACGGAGAGGAACCCAAGGAAGGAATGACAGTACAGACTATGAGAATGTAAAGAGAAGAGGAGGAAAAAAGTCTAACCACAAGCCATTAAAGCAGAGGATGAGGCAGTGACACAGGCATATAATGTGTATGTAGAGAGAGCAAGCGAGAGAGAGAACCCTCACACATCCCTGAGAGCCTAATTGAAACCAGACACGTTCATTTCTGCAGAAGAGGAGAGGCGAGTTTAAAGACAGAAAACCACTGTGTTTTTTTTTTCAGACAGAGGTCAGAGGTAGTGAACTCACAAAAGCAAACATCAGAAAGAGAAACTTTATGATGGAAACAGACCAAAACTGTGCGTTCCTTATACCCATGAGAAATCAGTTTTCTCCTATTCTCTGGAATCTGAACATACCCACGAGAATAGCAGCTACAACCCTCATAAGAGGTCAGAGTCTCATGTTTACATTTTGTTACAGCCATGCAACTACTGTGTGTGTGTGTGTGTGTGTGTGACAACCGGACAGCTTTCAGCTGATGTTATTCAGGCATCAGTGTGGTCTCCCTCTGTTTCTTGGCTGTGTCTAATCATGTTCTGAAACTGCTAACTACGAAACACTCAGTTCCATCATAAAACATTAAACACAGGATTACTATAGAGCTCAAATGTGTCATGTTTATAAATTCTGGGACAGAAAAATTAAGAGTTGGGGAAGCGATTAATTTTGCTGTTATGTAATATTTTACTGTGTTATCAGTTTTCTTTTCATTCTTTTCTATCAAAAATCTTGAGCAAATTGCTTCATTACAAAGAGGGAGTTAAAAAAACTGTCATCAGACGTTCAGCAGAGCTCACACTCACAATGTCTTCTCCGCTAAACCAGCTATGTTGATTGCTTTGTATTGGCGCCAGACACATCTGCACCTTAAACACACACACATGCAACAATCACAACACGCACACTCACCTAAAGCATGATTCTTCCACTCCTCTTACAACAAAGTGTTCCACTTAAACATAACTGCGGCAAGCTGAAACAGCAGAAATTTAAGTAAAAGGGATTCACTCACACTTTGTAATCAGAGTAAACTTGCAAGTCAGGCTTTTTCTCTTCCCCTTTTTTTGGTTCCAGAGTGCAACCACACATCACTCCACTCTGCGCTGCATGAGACTCTGCTGAAACTTACACAGGGGCATATATAACTCCATCTGCAGACGTATAATGATATATATATATATATATATAATTACACACATATACATAATACATATTATACAAGCATTTTGTAATTAACCCAAAATTCTCAAATCTATGCAAAAGGAGCAAACGTAACAAATTCCTGATATCACGCTAACCACCAATTCATTTTTATTTTTAAAGAGTTGTGTTTATCGTGAACGATGAGTCATTGGTGGGCAATGGTTATCCTGGAGTTCCTTACAGTACAAAGGGAACCAGTGGATAAATTAAACCCCTCCACTCTGGCAGAAGTGGTGCTACCTATCTGTTGAACTACACAGAACTGAAACTGAATTGCTAGATCATGGCAGTGTGAGTGGCATGGGACCATCCCGCGCCAGTAGCATTAACAAAAGCCGTAAGGAAAGCATCTAAAATTAAGACAAAATAATATTTTCTTTGCCTGCATGATTTATATGCTGTTGAGAGGAAATCAAGATCAAGCGCCAGGGCTCAATGACCCTCCCACAGACTGTGGCACAACCTTCAAGAACTCCCAGATTACCACAACGCATATAGGACCACAACGTTTTGTGGTCGAAAAAGAGACTTACTTAAGCAATTCCTAATGACTGAGCTGGCACAAGCTGCAACTTAAATGTTAAAGAATACCATAACATCATCATTCATTTTTAAACCAGTGCCAAAAAAAGTACAACCCACCTTCAGCAGGCAATGAATTAATTAATACAGTAATTCCATGTTACTGCAAAACCTGAGCAGGTCAGCTTTGTCCATTGTATCTCAATTTTGCACTTTCATCACATTGTGAGTTCTCAACATTGACCATGAGTTGGTATTCATTCTTTGTCCATGCAGACACTAGCAGTGCATGCCCTATGATGTCTTTAGGAACAAAGAAATAAAAAAGGTTGTCACACTTCTATTAAAACTAACAAAAATGAGAACAGAAAATAATCCTAGAGGGGATTTTATTACATCAATTCTTCAACCTAATAACCATTTCACATCAAAGATTTCAAATATATGCTGTGGTCTTTTCTAAGCCTTCCAGGGAATCTGATTTTATCACCAAAGGAACCAAAATGTGCTTGCCAAACAATGCTTGCCAAAAAAATTTCCTGCACCATTAAATATTGTATCCAGGGATAGTGGGGATTTAGGCTGTTGGCTTCAGCTTGAATAATCTTTTGTAATAGACAGACTTTTTACAACTTTGTACAAATATAAGGTTCGGTCCTACCTGTGCAGGAAGAGAAATCTGGTCGGGCTCATCCACTAGGACCTGCAGATCTCCGGTTTGGTCCCGCGTCCCCGGCGTCCTAATCCTTGTCATGAGCGCGGCGTCTAAGCCAAGAAACATCTGCCTGGCTGCCTATAAACTTAGAGCGTGGAAGTTAGACGAAACGACTGGCTGCTTCTCCAAATTTACACACACACACTCACTCTCTCTCTTTCTTTCTCCTTTCTCTCTCCAGCTGCCTATGCTGAGTGATTGACTTACGCCTCATACAAGCTCTCTCTCTTCTCCCCCTCTCTCTCTCCTTTGCTTTTCACCCACTCAGCTGGATCGCAGTGAGAAGAGAGGAAGAGAGAAGAGAGAGGAGAGGAGAGGAGATCGAGAGGAGAGAGAGAGAGAGAGGAGAGAGAGACTGTGAGCAAAGTAAACCTTGATTCTCAACGGATCCACAAAGCCTGTGGTCTGGTTTAGTTTTACACACACAAACACATATATTACAAAATGTAGGAGGGCAACCTGCACTGGTCCTCTCTGTTTAAACCAATGGACTTCTTGTAGAATATGCTCCAAATTGACCTGATAGACTAAGGAGGAGAGAAAAGAGAGAGATTGGGCACCTTTGGTGTCACAGAGGCCAACTCACCGTCAAGCACAAACATCCCATGTGCACTGTCTGGGCGTTGGTCAGGTTCCAGCAGAGGGAGTCGCCTTTAAGATGTAAATCTTTGAGGTTTGTTCCAAAATAGCCTTGTTCCATTTCCAACATCTGCCTTGATCGCACTTCAGTGGACAAGTTCCTACTTTTGTTTTTAGGTCCTGAACCATGTTACATGCATGTTGCAGGCAACACTTTTGTGCTACCCATCATCTGAACTGCATCAACTTTCTGTGGTGCAAGAGGTGGAACCAACCACTTGTCCTCTTACCTTTAAGCCATTCTAGTGGATTAAAAGGAACAGCACATGACATCTAGACTTTGGTCTAGACTGAAATATCCAACAACTATTAAATGGATTGCCAGAAATCTTTGAACAGACAGATTCATGTCTCCCCAGGCTGAATTTAAAACCCTACCGATTACTTAACTTATACACCACATTACGTCAAAACTTAAGTAATGTCCAAATACTTTGGTTTACACAAACTATTTATTTACTTTTAGTTCTAAGTAGCAAACATTAAGCATGCTAAGACAGTCACTAAGGATGGTGAACCTAGTAAACGTTACTGAAAATCTCAGCTTGTTCATTTGGGTCCATATTAGCGTGCTGATGTTTACCAATTATAGCAAAGCACTGCTGTGCCATAGACCGCAGTTTGGTTAACAGCTGCTTGCATGACATGTAGAATGTGTCATTGTTCTTCTTCAGTTCTTACCCTTACAAACATTGTTGGCATGTTCACTACCCTATTTCCTCCATTTGAACAATTGATTATAAAAGCAGCAATATAATGAGGCCGAAGTTAGAAAGTAGAGAAGACTAAAATGATGCAGCAATTGTGTTGACTGTAACAGACTGAAAGACAGATTTTTTTTTTTTGGCAGCTTTTATGCGCTTGTATTGATAGGGAATTCAGACTGGAGACAGACAGGAAAGGGGCAGAGAGAGAGGGGATGACACGCAGCAAAGGGCCGCAGGTCGGATTCGAACCCTGGGCCGCTGCAGCAAGGACTCAGCCTTGGTACATGGGTCGCCAGCTCTACCCACTGAGCCAACCGGGCGCCCGAAGACACAGATTTATGTAAATATATTTTGTGCCGTTTGATGTCTTTGACATTTTTGTGATGAATCAAGTTTGAGCTCCTGGTGTGTCTTTGAAGATAAATTATCTGTAATTGTTTTGTACTGCAGTACGTCTGTATATTTACCAGTGAAGATTCCCACATTGGCTGGAAACTCTCTACCACTTGTTGCTAACATTAACCATTTGGCCTCTCTGACACAAAACAGCTCCCACAGGAATAGTTTCATCTGCTAGTAATGGGCATTCTGTGTAATTTTATGGTGCCAAAGGACAGTAATCCCTACTAATCAACATACTGCTGCCTGTCCTGTCCTTCTCTTCTCTTCTCTGGATCAACACTGAGTGAAACAGCTCCATATTAGGATCACTTTTCTGTGCTAGCTTAAATAGATTGTTTACTGCCAAACACTTAAAATGGCTTGAGGGCACTTACACCAGAACAACTGTATTAAGTAAGTAGGAGGAGCTGGGATGGAGACCTGGGAGCTTTTCTGCATAGGCTATATAACAATCACCCTGTCGGTTTAGCAATGGCAGATACACAGTAGTCCCCTCCTCAAACATGCAAGCGTCTACTATACATACACACATTTGCAAAAGCATGCATGCATATCAGGCCACTCAGCGAGACTGGAATAGAATACAGAATGGCATCCAAGTAAACTGCAAAATGCATTTTCTCGATAAACCCTATATGCCTGTGCCTGAGTGTGTGAGTATGTGTGTGTTCATGCCCAGAGAGGAGAAGGGCTGTTTGTGTGCCAAGACAGCTGTGGTGCCAATGGGGAGATGAAGGATGCGTGCCTTGTTAAAATTCTTCAAACGCATTCTTTAAAGAGCCAGGTCAACTTTTAAGCTCAATGTATCATTTTAAGACGTTTTTATAGCCAAGGTGTATTATATAAATGTCTAAATGAATCTCTGATGAAAGCAAAATTTGTAAACATAGCACTTCTAATTTTGTCAAGCAAGGTAATGTAGTTGTTGTACACTGCATGTTTATCCTTTCTAATATCTTTAAAAATCAAATATCTGTTCTAGATAACATATCAAAAAACAAAGCAAACAAAGACTAATCTGATGCAAGCTTCCGTCTCAAGTTGCTGCATTGATATGAATGGAAACCAATGACTTCCTGGGTGGTAGCAAATCCATCTAAATGCCATTATAATTTATTCTAACTATATGCTTTGTCCCTAATGCCCTCTAATTAGGCTAAAGCAGCATTTCCTCTATTTCCAACTAAACCTTTGCCACAGGGAAAACATGTTGTAAATGGTGACAGCAGTGCTTTCCTGCCACACAAGTAAACTAACTTAACTCCTGTTGGAAGAGCTGCACTCTTCCATTTGTGAATTTGATGTCAGAGGTGACACACAATGAAGCAGGAGTCTTCCACTTCTCCCAAAAAATGCTGGTGCTATTTTCTGCATGCATTTCCATTTCCATCAGGAATTGATGGAGGCCTAATGAAAGCTGAAAGAAGAGAGAATGTTGGATTTTTATTCATCAATTGGCCAGAAAGACAGCTACAAATGAATGCTATTGTTGGTCCGTGTCTGCTGGATGTTCACAGTTTGGCCTTAAAAGGTGATAATATGTAAATGTTGAGTTTACAACTTGACTGATGTGAGCTTGGTGCATTGACTAATTTCCATAAAGTTGAGGTTGTGTTGCTATTATTAACAGAGATACGGCAAATGGCCAGTCAGCTCGCTGCAGCATATCCATCTCCTGCAGTACATCGAGAATTAATAGGATCTGTCGACTTGACATCTGTCATCACATCCAGTGTGTCTGCTCCTTAAGAGGATACTGTGGTGAGAGACTTTAACTGTAGATGGGGGGACAACGTTAGGATTAAAAGTGATATCACTGTTCGATCTGGGACAAACATGTTTTGTATGTTAACTCTGCTTCCCTCTTTTTTTCTTCCCTCTCTCTGTTTGTGAATCATCCTGTCTGTCTGTCTGCATCTCTCTCAGTCAGTGTCCCATGCTTCTCTACCTGGCCACAATCCACGACAGACTGGAAACGCATTGGAACACATGTACACACAAACGGAGCTGTACAGATGCAACTATTTAGACAAACCAGATGACCCCATATCTCCATCTGCTGTGGCTATAAACTTACATCCTATTTAATGAAAGCACCGTAGACGGAATCCCTCCCATTAACGTCTGTGTGTGTAGCGCTGATTCAGTCCACGTTCTATAATTGCTCACTTCAAAAACAACAAGCATTAATCACTCTGTAGATAATGCAATCTTATTCCCCTCTGTATTTTCTCAGTCTCATTCTCACTATTATTTTCCCATGGGTTATCTATCTCAGTCAGCCTTGCTGTGTGTGTATGTGTATGTGTATGTGTGTGTCCTTTCGCCCCTCTTTCCACTTCTTTTGGTGATTTTTTGTTTTGCATAATTTATTTCTCTAACATTCCCTCACCCCTTTTTTATTTTTTTCTCTGCTTCGGTGTGCCAGAATAACGGCTAGACGCAATGAAAAATAATGGAAGACTGGAATATACAGTAACTGTGTCACAACATGTCAGCCTAAGTGTCATGTTACGCTGAATAAAGCTGCTGTGCATTACTAATACAAATAATCTTGCAATTTTGCATCACACTGTGGGATATATGTCAGGAATGTGTCTGTGGATAGAGAAATGAAGAATGCAAAAATTAAAGATAAGAAGGAAAAAAGAAAGAAAGCATGCAAATAAATAAATAAATAAAAACACAATCAATGAATATCTTCATATCTGCCGGATCAATTATGTATGACAGAATAAACTGGGTATCTGTTACGATCTGTTTCTCTGGGTGTCATGGTGGATTAAATGATCATAACATGAGTACAGCGAACTGCAAAGACAAATGAAGGTTGGATGTAGAAAGAATAAATAGAAGGAGACATTAAATACATCTAAGTAGGTGTCACAAAAGAGAATGGTATGTTTGCTTGCAGCTCAGTGTGCTGTAATGACTAAAAATGACTTAACTGTGTTTCTAAAGTAATAACTATCATTAATGCAGGCCAACAGGAGGGTGGAAATGAAACTGATATTGTACAATTTGTGAGCCTGAGTGCCACAACAGATAAATGAATCCCATTATAGTGTATTGTAGCCATATTTCTGTTGCGTAAGAAACTGGAATTTTTTCTTTTATTGTGCCAGACAATTACAAGGAACTATCAAGAGAGTAATTTAAAACAGCAGATGAAAAAGGACAAATATAAATAAATAAGTGATGAGTCGCTTGCATGATATTGGTTTGAATCCATAAGAGTGGATGCATCCG